ATTAAGAATGTAATGTCAATGAACCCGAACCTGAACCAGTAACAATTTATTCATGCCTAGGTGCTGTTTTAGTCCATTTCTCTGTCATAAATGCACGGCGTTGTACGTTGGGTGTTAATGAAATTCAGACGTCTTCGGTAAACAGGAAGGAAATAAAGTCCACAATGCGATTGTATTCCTTAAAGAAAAATAACTTTGTTTCAATAGAAAAGAATTGAATTTGTAACCAGTTCTAATTAATTTGGCACCGTATTTCACGGGGAAATATGTTTCGGTAAGGGATATAAGCAATAACCTATGGTGCAAGCTGTCATTTTTGAGGACTAGTATAGAAGAAAAGAGAAGTTGTTGCTGTTTGTTGTTTTGTTGTTTGTTGTGGATTTTGTTCATTGTTGTTGTTGTTGTTGTTGTTGTTGTTGTTGTTGTTGTTGTTGTTGTTGTTGTTGTTGTTGTTGTTGTTGTCATCGTCGTTGTCGTCGTTGGCGTCGTTGTTGTTTTTGTTGTTGTAGTCGTTGTTATCATTTAATTCAATTTTCTGTTCTTGTTTGTTGTTGTTTGGGGATGCTATGAGGGGGTGAGGCAAGATCTTGCAAATGGAAAGAACATTCAGAATGTACATGAAGAAATGAAGCGGTTAGGCATGATTTGCGGATACAGGGTTTGACAGACAGACTGACAGACAGACAGACAGACAGACAGACAGACAGACAGACAGACAGACAGACAGACGGACATGAATCCTGGTAAACGGATAGCAAACTATGAAACAATAAGCAGTCAGAAATCTACAAAGGTAAGGAAGGTGGATGAGTATCGCATGTTGATGTGACAGGAGAAAACAATAAATAAACGTTTCCTGGCCCCTGGAAGCAAAAACATTCCCAGATGTATTTATGTAGGTTACTACACCTTGGCATTTCTTTCCTCACGTTCCGTTGTGGTATCTGGGTTAGCTGAATACTACCTTGCTCTATATTTTTCCAAGACGTGTCGTATAATGTAAACTCTTCCTTAAAATTCTCACGCACTGACCTCTTCTTTTATATTTTCCCCTCCGTCCTTCACCAGTCTCTCTCTCTTCCCACCCTCCCCCTCCCCTTTCACTCTCTTTTTCTCTCTCCCTCTTTCCTTCTATTTCTCCCCGTTCTCTGACTCGTTCCATCTCTCTGTGTCTCGCCGCACCCACCACCCCAGTCTCTCTCTCTTGGTCGATATCTATCTATCTATCTATCTATCTATCTATCTATCTATCTATCTATCTATCTATGATACCCCACGAACCCACTGAGGGTGTCAGGAATCTCCACAAACGCCCAACATTTTCAAGATACAAAGACTTTTCAGCCAAAAGTAGTCTACTTTGACTCTTAGCAACGTCTCTTCAAACTTTGGGGATGGACTGACGCAGACCTTAGGGTTCATGCACCCCGGTTGGGGAACCCCTGATGTACTTAGAGAACTTGAACAGATGGGTGACGGGAAAGACACTAATAATATTAAGGGGGAGGGGGGGGGGGCTACACCTGAAGGCTATCTCGCTTATTAGAGGACCAAATTTTACCACATTTCACAGATATAACAAGCATAGTAAGAAGTCTTAAAATAAGCAATGAAATTTGAGAAAAAAGTTTTGTTTCCATGGATACGGCGGCCATATTGGATTTTGTTTACAAGTCTGACGTAATGAATACCGCACTATTTTTCGTGGAAATTGATTGGGTTTTTTTGCATGGATGTTAGCAAACATTACATCTAAAAATGTGTCTGTTGATTTTTATTCCTAAACTAATTACATTTTTAATGAATTTTTTCCTTAGATAGTATTCAAGTTTGCAAAAAATCCGTGAAAATCTACACTCCAGACACCACCAACAAAAACCTATTTCATATATCAATAATTTAACAGACACATTTTTAGCAATACATCTTCTTTTCATTCTGTGAAAATTTCATGAAGATTGGTTGAAAAATGGTGGCGTTATTTTTAAAAAGTAGGCCTACTGAGAAAAATCGCGTTTCGAGAAAACAGCCGATAAAGAAAAACAAAATAATGACTTTAATGAGGAAATGGTGGTGACAAACATGCCCGATATGGGAAGGAATTAAGCTTTGGGGGGGGGGGGGGGGGGGTAATCATGCCACGAAATAGTTGTAGGAGAGGCTGAGGAAGCTAAAAATGCCTACCACTCTTTTTCCATAATTTTGAGCCGAATCGGGACTTTGGGGGTGTAGCCACCCCCCCTCCCCCTCTTAATTTTTTTCCTTCTGAGTACATCCGAATAGATAAACGAGTAATGACCTGTAATCTCCATTGTCTGTCATTTGTAGGAGAACAAGCCCGTTGTATTAACACAGCCCCCATCTCCTCCCCCTACCCTCCCAAAACCACCCACCAGACTAAACGAAATTCATTTCCTTTTCTCCATGAAATACAGGTATTGGTTTGGAAAAAAAAAGTGTGTCGGGGAGGGAGTGGGGAGGGGGGGGGGGGTGTGTCGTTATTCAACATAAATAATATATATATTTTCCTGGCCTTAACACATTTTCTTCCTATATCCACACAGAACGGAAAGGTGCCTCTGTGTGTTATGTTTTCTTCTGGCCTCGTCGTATCACCTTCGCTTTCTCCACCCACCCCTTAGTCTGGCTAACTGTTGGGGCACCACTGTAGATATGTCAACCAGCTTGCTCCACTTCTCTCGGTTCTTAGCTGTCTTTGGCAGTATCCACCCGGAGACGTTTCCGACGGAGATAGACCAGTCAAAATGCTTTGTGCCTCTAGATCAAGTTTAAAAAAAATCCCTATAATTTTATATTTTGCATTTAAGTTTGAAATTTTCTTGAAAATTATTGATTTGCGATAGTTGTAGTGGCTATATGAGTGATCTGCAGCAAATATTACGCAGTTTGACCCCCAAAGCAGTGCATAATATGTGTGCGGGAGTGCATCTCCGAATAGTTCCTGGGTGCTCGCCGAAGACGTCTCCAAATATCTTCTGCCCTGTCTTTTGAATAGTAAGATGTTCTACTCACGACCTGTCCATTCTTTGATGTTGTCATCCCATCGTTTCCTCTGTCTACCTCTTCGTCTTCTTCCTTGTGCTGTTCCCTGTAGGATAGTCTTGGCAAGTCCCTGACCGCTGACCCTGGCGTATTACTTCCTTTTCTTCTGTTTTCTTTTTTCTTTTCGTGAATGCAAGTGACACAAGACCGGCGTCTGGAGTGTAAAGGTGTTGAGGCTTTGAACACATATTGGTTTTCGTGATTTTCTCAAGTAATCCGGCTATTTGTAACTTTGTAACTGCTGCTTCAAAAGAAATGTTAAAAACTAAAAGAAACATTCACGTTTATATTTGGAGGGTGGATTGGGGGGGGGGGGTTGTTGTTGTTGTTGTTGTTGTATTAGTTTTTAACTGTTTTTATTTCCGTTTTTTTTTAAGATGA